GTCTGGTAGAGGTGCTTATTGGAAGCTGGGACACTGCAGGGATTTCTGTGCCCGATTTGAAAGGAGGCTGAGACAAAGTAAGTGAGCACTCCCTCTGCAAAAAAGTTAGACTCTGCTCCTCAAGGCCCCCTTTCCTATCAGAGTGTGCAGAAAAAAAACAGAATTAGGCCCTTTTAGCACGATCTGCTTTCGCTCTACCTGCCTCTCCACCAAACCCCAGCACAGTTTCCCAGTTCAGATTAGCATGTCCATATGGGTTTAAGAAGAGCCTGAGGCAGATCTTTCCCCCACAGGCACACATGGTCTGCACTGTGGTGGCTGATCCCACATGAGGGGGACCTTTCTGGGGTGGCACCTGGGTCCCAAAGCCCCCTCCTGCAGGGGCTCCGCTTGGCCCATCATGACTTGTTCTTCCTTGATGAAGCAGAGTCTCCCCGGGTGCCACAGCTAGCATGACGGACTGGGCCTTGTCCCCACTTGCCCATGAGGCTGATTGCGTGACTTTGGAGCCACTGATGCCCAACCCCACAGGACCGCTGTGAGAGAAAATACTGAGGAGGACCATGTATACCCCCTTGGAGGAAAGCTGAGATATGTGACAGACAGACAGACAGACAGACAGACAGGAATAAAAGTGTTGTGCTCTCAGTATATAATGTGGTGTAGTAGCCAAGAATGCAGGACCGGGACTCAGGAGATCTGGGTTCTAGTCCACACTCAACCTTGGAGCTCACTGGCTGACTTTATTTTTCGATTTATATCCTGCCATTTTCCTACATTTTCCAAGGCAGCTTACATCATTCTCCTCCTCCATCTTATCCCCACAACCTCAACCCTGTGAGGTAGGTTGGGCTGAGAGTCTGTGACTGGCCCAAAGTCACCCAGTTGGCTCCATGGCCGAGTCCCAGATCGCCTGAATCCCAGTCCCATGCTTTTAACCACGACACCACACTGGCTCCAGTCAGTGGGCCAGTCAGACTCTCAGCCCAGCCTACTTTACAGGGTTGTTGTTGTGAGAGTAAGGTTGAGAGGAGGAGGAGGAGGGGTATATGAATCAGCATGAGCTCCTTGAAAGGAAAAAAAGACAAGATATAAATATACCAAATAATAAGAAGACGACAATCAGGATAAGAAATACAAGGTGTGCCCAGAAAGTGATGAGAATATTTTAAAAATTCTTTTATTGAAATTTTTTACAATTGAGCATTGTCTCCTTCAAAGCATGCACCTTGTGAGTGCTCCCAGTGATTTTTCCATTCTTCATAGCATCTCTGGAAGTCTTCAAGTGGGATGGCTCTTTGGACGTTATCCACACTAGCAAAATGGTGTCCTTTCAAACCATTCTTCATCTTTGAGAGTATGAAAAAGTTGCAAGGAGTCAAGTTGGGGTTGTAAGGTGGGTAGGAAAGCACCATGATGTGTTTTTCAGCCAAAATCTGACAGCCAAAGCACTGTGACTCGGTGCATTGTCCTGATGAAGGATCCAAGTTGAGCTGATCTCAACTGGTGCCATCAGTACACTTGTGCAGATGATAGGGCAGCTACTCTATAAACTTTCCTCATCATTTCCAAAATTTCTGATGCACTTTTACCCAATTCCACGCAAAATTTTATCGCATACCACTGTTCCAAACTAGCTTTCGTTATTCTTAATACGAGGCACCCGAACAGGGTGTCATGAAGAATAATATCTAGACTCCGACAGGGCTGGAATGCAACCGATCGGTGTTCTAACATATACATAGCACCCCACCCCAATTGACCTTGTCCAGCTTCTCCCTTCACAGAGCACTTCTCGAGTGTAGGGACTTCATCCTCATTCTTCTCTGGACACACCTATTATGAGCTCCAACTCTATGGGCAGTTATTTTTCCTAGCAATGGGATGTCTTTCTTGCGGCGAAGAGCAAGGTTCTCTGGTGAAGGGGCACATGCAGATGATTGCAAGTTCAATGACCAGCATTCCGGGCACAGCTGAAACCCTGAAGAGTAGCCACTTGGTGTCAACATCCTCATCTTTATTATTGCCATTAACGTCATTTCTATACTGCCCCACAGCTGTAGCTCTCTGGGCAGTTTACAGCAATCCATAACACAGACAATAAAATTCAGTAAAAGTAGAAAAACATTAAAAAAGCTAAAACAAACAGTAACAAACCATGACTCCATAAAACACCTGGGATAGGTAATCCTCTCAAGCCGCGGGGTAGCCCAGGGCTTTAAAAGCCTCAACATAGAGGGTTGTGTGAACTTGGCACTGAGGAGATGGCACATTTGGCACCAGAAAGGCCACAGTGGGGAGGCTGTTATGGTGAGTCACCTCAGAGAAAGCCCCTTCCCTTGTTTAATTTGTTTAAACCTTCAGTTTGGCCTGGAAGCACACAGGCTGCCAATGCGAGCAGGTCAGAACTGGTCTTATGTTATCCAAACTATGGTTCCTGGTTCTCGATCTGGCTGCCACATGTTGTATGAGCTGCAGCTTCAGAACCGTATTCAAGGGCAGCCCCACACGGAGCGCATTAGTGGATTAGAGGGCCAAGAGCAGTCTGTTACATTCTGACATGTTTCCTCCAATATTTTCTGCATTGATCTATTCCTATTTTAACATGTTTTAACATGATGATCCTGATGGACAGACAGGTAGGATAAAAGCTGCAGGTGGATTCTAATAGACCGCAACTCCAGGTAGAACCATCATCAGCATCTCATACGATCATCTCAGGGATGGCCAGGTAGATTCATCAGGGGGAAGATGGATTCTCAAAACCCAAACTGTGAGAAGGTTGCCAAAAGGAAGCATTAACCTTCCTCTCCCCATGAACTCTGCTCAAGCTGACCCACCACTGATGATGATTTCTAGACCGTCCCTTACCAAAGTCTCAAAACGGTTTAACAATACAAAATGTAAGATAAAACACAGCATCCTAAAAATTAAACTAACAATAAAACCCCAATTAAAACAATCAGATCTTAAAACATTGGGAAAATAAAAAGGGTTTAGTCTGGCACCAAAAAGAATAAAGTGAATACAGGCTTTTAAAACGCTCCTGTGTCAGCCAAAGCGCTGAGGTAGCAGAGGAAGGAAACAGAAAGAAAAAAGGGGCCACGGGGAAAAGTGTGCCCATGTGTGTGTGGGAAAGAGCTGGAGAAAGAGAAAGGGGCTGCTGCAGACAACCCACTGCTGGCATGTACATGGGGCTGGTGTCACAGGGTAGGCCCCTCCTCAAGGCCCACACCCCTCTAGGGGGCCACAAGCAAGAAATCCCTGCAGAGGCTTCTCTTCAGCACTGCCACCTGTATGGTCACCTGCCTCTCACCTGACCCAGTCGTTGGTGCTGGCAAGGAGCAGCACAGCTGCCCTTCTCCAGTTGCTTGCTGGGCTCCCTGCATATCAAGCACGTGCAAGCAGTAATGAGGAGGAGGCGGTGCAAGAGCAGCTGCTGACGCGGTGGTGAGCAGGTGGGCTTGCTGTGGGCTAGAGCCCCTTGAGGGCATCCTGTCCAAGGACCCTCAAACCAGCGCTGCGTGCATGCATGCATCCGCATGCACACAACCCCGGTTTCCCATGAGGGAGTTCAGCCCACAAGCCGGAAAAGGTTCTACATCCCCTGGTATACGCTGATCCCTACCTGCTTCCCTTCTGGTTGTCAAACTCCAGACAATTCTTTGAAGTACAGTTCTCTTACTGAAACTTAACTGGTTACAGATCAGTATGAACTTGAAATAGCCTTCTGATGAAGTTGAGGGAGAAGCCTCTGTCCATGGAAAGAGCTGAAGCCACACTGCAAGCTTCCGTCCTGTCCCTCCATTCCCGGAAAACTTCTGATGCCCTCCTCAGGGTGGCTCTTGCTGCTGGAGAGCAAGATGGCATGTATGGCAAGGCCCCTCCAACTGAGCCACTCATTTCCCCTGAAGTCACCTTGCTGGGCCAAGGGCTGGGTCTTGCATATGCTCCCCCTCACCTCCTTAAAACACCTCCACCCCTTCCAAAGCAGGCCGATGTGTACGCACTGCCTGAAAAACTTCACCCGGCAGCCTTGCAGCTGCAAAGTCCTCTGCTCCCTGGCGCTCCTCCACCACCACCTCCTCAGAACCGGATGAATTTATCTGAAGTCTGTAATGAGCAAGCAACAGGTCCACTCTTGACACCCCTGCTTGGAATAAATAAATAGATGTTGGCTCTCAAGCTGTGGTGCAGTTTCTCAGAAACTTGGCAGGAAGTCTGTGATGAGATCAGGAGCGGCTAACCAAATTCCCAGAAGATTGCTTACCTGTGGCTGCTGATCTTCTCCTACCACAGGGACATAGGAAGTCACCTTAGACCTGGCCAAGCCACCTGCTCAACTAGTTCCGTTCTGTCCACTGTGACAAGGGTCTTTTCCATTCCCTCTGATCTGGCCTATTCATTCGTTCATTCATAAGATGTTTCTATACTGCTCCTATTTAGTCAATAACTCTCAACAGTTTACAACAAATTTGAAAATTAAAAACAGAGAGAACACTGCCGTTCCTATTTAACCAATCACAAGATAAAATCAATAAAAACACATTAATAAGAATAAAACAAAGCATAAAATCAGGCATATAATCTAATAGAAATAATTATACAATTAATAGAATCAAAAGCAAACCAACCAACCAACCAAAGAACCCCAGTGTTTTAAAGTTGTGATGCCAGCAATTTTGAACCGAAGATTTTCTACACACAAACTGTAGCATACAACTCGGTTATGGCTCAGCACCTTTCAATGCAAAGCTACAGAGATGGGAAAGGAACATGCTCTTTGGTTCTCAACTGGTTGAGAGGTATAAACAGCACCCCCACATTCCTTTCCTCATGATCCGCAAAGTGCACCCAATCCTGAGTGGACATCTATGACTTCCTCAGCTCACAGAAAAAAGTTTCCCCCACAGCAGCAACACTGAAAACCACAAGCAGTGAAAAAGGAGAACAGAGGGTTGTCAAGAAACAGCAAAGCAAAATCATGACACTGAGCAACATCGAGCACAGGATGGTTTATTGAAGAATAGAGAAAGTTATCCAGTTGCAGAATTCAGTGCAATTTTTAAGAAAAGGAGAGCAATACAAGATTCAAAGCCCAGCTTGACAAGAAGGCCGTAGCCGACTTTTCCCTCACAATTTGCACGCAGTACAGATCACGCTCACACACATGCACACACACCCCACAGAAGAAAACCAATTCCATTTCTGTTGTTGTGGCCCAAAGTAAAACAGATTCATAAGCATTTCATGTGTCAAAATGCAGATTTCCACAATAAAATTCATTCGACTAGTTCCCTGCAGCCTTTCCCCACTGTTTGGGGTACTAGTCTTGACAATTAACAGGCAGTTCCAAAGAGGTATACAATTTGGAGAAGGGATATTTCCCATCCACATTTATTTGGACTATAAGGCTCTGGAAGCCAAGGAGGCAAAATAAACCATATTAAAAATCATAAAACACCCAATTAGGGTTGTAATGATCCTGCAGAATTCAGCTCTCTTCTGCTCATCAGACTTCTTTCTCGTGCTCAGCCTTGACTTAGGAAGTGAGCCGAGCTGAGACGAAGTACAGAAATGCTCACAAACACTAGTGAAACATCTCTTGCACAACCCTGAATCTCATGCAAAACCCGTAAGTCACATGCACGGAAGAGCAGCTCTGCTTGCACAGTGTTCATACGGACTCAATTACAGATGAGTGCTGGGTACCAAGTCGGACTTAGGGCTGCGAGCAAGGGATAGTCCAGCGAGCCAAAGTAGGGGAATCTGGTTGATTCCCACCATAAGGCAGATTTCTCACACCCCTACACCCATTACCCTACAGCAACCTTCCCCAACCTGATGCCTTCCAGATATATTGGACTCCATGTGGACTAGGAATGCTGGGGGTTGCAGCCCAACATATCCAGAGGCTGGGGAAGATTGCTGGGTGACCAGGCCTACTTTACAGAGGACAGTTCTCTTTTGGACTGCTGGCAGAAGGTGTCCCTCTCTTTGGTGGGATATCCAGCCCAAGTCAGAAGGGAAAGCTCAGAGGCATTAACAGCACTGGGGAGCAGGTATGTGTCACCTCTTCAGCCTTCTCTACTAAAGTGAGATATATTTTATTTCTACTTAATTTATTTCTAAGTTTGCACCTATATTTGGATGTATAGCTATAAACGGAATTGCATACACAAATGCAATGCAAATGGTGTTCTTTTTTTACTTTTTGTTAATGCATAAATGACCACTCCAGGGTTTTAGGTTCTCTGCAGGGTTGTGCCTTCTGAAACCTTATGCCATACTGAGAAACCCTAACGCCCAATTCTCCTAAACAGCAAAAACAGCAATCTTTTGGACAGTACCACTGCAGAAGGAAACTTATATATATGCTTCTATCTCTCTGAGAGAAAGAATATACAGAAAACTAGCATATCTGGAATAAACTGAGAATACAGTAGACCCCCGAAATTCACGGGGTTTACGTTTCTGAAGCACCCGTAAATTGTGAAAAACTGCGAATTTGGTGCAAAACCTGAAAAAGAGATTAATATGCAAGCAGTATACAAGCAGCAATCCTTCCTTCAGAAAACCATTATCTGTCACTATCCTCATTTAAGACTTTCATATGTAGAGGCTTAAGTTGGCACATACTGCAAATCTAAGAACCCCCTTGACTTACATTCAGTCCATTTTTTCTTGTTCTGTCCTTTCAATAATGCAGACTTATTTTCTCATGTAAATGAATGCTACTATATAAAACAATAACAAATTGCGGGCCGGGCTGGGCGGCGGGCGTGCTTGCGTGGCGAGGCAGGGGCAAGAGCGGGCACGCACAGATTGTTTTCTCCAAGCGAGTCCAAACTCGGAGGAAATGATCTCCTTGCGAGTAAGCCCCCACACAGCGAGGCACCGGCTTGCTAGAAAGGAGATCGGCTTGGACTAACTTGGAGAAAAATCCCGCAAAAGATTGAAGCCACGAATGCCAAACCGCGACTTCATGGGGATATACGGTACTTCTCCAAAATCTTAGTTCTCCAAGCACAGAGAATGTTTCTGTGTGGCAGTATTGTTAAGTAAACCTGATTTTGAAGTGGCATAGTCCAGACACAAGAGACTTGTGCAGTTATTTATCTACAATACATGAGGGCTAAATTAACCTGGTAGCACATAATGGTAGCAAACTGTAAGTTAATTAATCCAACATTGCTACAGAGCAAATTAGTACTTAGAATAACTGTGGGTTGCTTAAGCCATGATTTAACCTATAGTGTCTGTGTTTGGACATCACATAGCCACCTCTGATCAGTCCAGGTAGAGGCTGAATATCCAAAATGGCCATGGAGCATATCCAGCATGTACCACAGCACATCTTGGTTTAAACAACCCATGATTTGCTGCCAGTCCCAGCAAAGATGCCAGTTGTGTCTTAACTTATAGTAGAAGGCAGCTAATATAAATTTAAAACATGAAAAGTCTTTATGTAAACACATAGAAGGGGGATGGAAAAGAGGGATTTATTTTTTTCTTTTTTATCATCAAGCTATATGTTTTCACTAGCAAGCAAGAGCAGCTGGTTTTTGCTCTTGAAACGCACAGACTTTGCCAGGAACAAATTATTTCTGCATTTAAATGGTTTTCCATCACAGTGACCAAAGGTTTTTCTTCTCATCCAAAGTGTCCTTGTGCATGGAAACAGACATGAAGACATACATGTGAAAAAGGCATCATTAGAAAACTGTTGTAACAGTCTCATTCACTGCAAGACGAAAAGAAATGGACATTAAAAAGAAGCAAAAAGACCACAAACACAGTGGTACCAGCACGGAGAAGGAGCAGTCACCTTTGCTGGGGCAAAACCAACACAAAACAGATCTTCTATTTATTTCTAAGCAGCACTTCTTTTGTTTTCACAGTGTATTTATACAGGTAAAAGAATATGTGTTTGAGTAAATTCTCTCCATCATGATGTAAAGGAGAAATGGTGGGGAGGATACTATATTTTAAATTATTTTGCTAACAGAGCTTTTAAAGACTGTCATGAGAGGGAGGAAAACTAGAAGAATCCTCTTTGGAAAATTGCAGTTTTCACTCCTATTTCTCTCCAACTCTCCCTCAGAACCCTGCCTCATATTCATACCAACTTTAAAAATACAGAATTTTCAAGCTCATTATAATTTGGATCCCTGACCCTCCTAATCTCACCACAACGCTTCTATAATTGAAAGTGAGAGGTCACCTTCAAAAACGTGTCAAAAACAGGATCCAAAGCGATATGTGATGGAAGTCTTTCTATCACTGGGCAGGATAATACATATATTTAACAATGGCCGATTTCAGAATAGCTTGTTCCTCTTTTGCAGCATACAGACAGACAGCACTTTGAAGGATACTTTCAGACGCAGGGCCCTTACTGCGGTGGGGGGGGGGCAAACTTTTCATGGGCACATAAGGGAATCTGAGAAACTGTGGTGGGTTCACTACAAAATGGCACCTGTACAGAATGTAGCTAGTCCCACATGACTGCCACAGATGCTTGACTGGTCAAAACTGGCTAGAGAGGGGAAGGGAGAGAAAGAGCAAGGCTAGAAAGTGAAAGAAAGAGGATTGCCCTTTCTGGGGTTTTCCTTAAACTATTTTTGTGAAGTGGGCTGGAAGGGAAGAGCTTTGCAGGCCGCACCAGAGGTCCCCATGGGTGCCCTGGGACCTTCAGGTGCTGTGTCGGGAACCCGTGTCCTAATACTGGCAGTCAGAAGGCATCACGTAGCTATTCTGCCCTTTTCTCTTTAACAGAATTTCTTCTGTACAAAAAAATGGTAGGAAGAAGCGGTGGGGAAACACTGGAAGGCAGAAAATAAGACAATCTCATCAGCAACACACACGCCCCATGACCGAGGCAAAGAAATGCACAATATGCTTTGTCTGGAACCATCCAAAGACTAAGACATTTATTGTGGAATAAACTTTTGTGGGCTGGAGCTCAGTTCAATAGATCCTTAAAGCTAACACTTAAACAGGAAGTTACCATCAGTGGATAAAAAGCCAACCAGAATTATAACATACTACTGTTTTATCACCTTGGTTTACTGGTTTTAGTATTTTTTTGGACTAGAATTTTGAATAGTTTGTTTTAGCACTTGTTCTTATTGTGTTATGGTGTTGAAACGTTATGGTATTTCAAGGCTGCCTTCGAGAGGTTCCACCTTTAAAAGTAACATATATAATCTGTTAATAAAGTAAAATGAATGTGGTTAACTAAGTGGCTACACTCACATTGTGTTATTACTTGGTAAATATCTACCTGTATCCACCCTACTCAACATTTGGCCAAATAGTAAGATAAATGCAACAGAACAGGTATAGATATGTAATAAAATAGTTTCCCACATACAACTAAACTCTGAAATAAAAGATGATAGGACAATGTCTTGGGTAGAAAAAGGTAACACCTTTTTAAAAAGAGAAAATCCTAGATTGTAGGCCAAGTTTTTGGTTAGGACAGTGATGAGCGGGGAGGCATTTAGTATGGCCATCAATACTTCTGCTGTTGCTTATATTAGAGTAACCAAGCCTGTCATAATTAAACCCCAACATAAGCTACCTTTGTCTCAGCCCACAACATAATTGGACTTAGAGGCCCTACACACAACAAGTTCATCATTTTGACTCCAGTATTAAATGATCACATGATGAGTTCATCACACACAAATCATGACAGAGAGAACTTTCATAATGCCCAACATCAGGTTAAACACACAGTTTTTTCAGCAGACACAGTTCACACAAGGCGCAAAAACCCGACAATGTATATACATGTGAGAACAAACCACCAAGCAGCCAAAGAAAGAAGTGGGCCTTCCGATAGTAAAATCAGTGCGGTAGCTTGAAATGCAGACTCACCCTTGTGTCTTTTGTCAGATTTTAACACAATATGGCATTTAACGTCCACTACAATCCAAACAGTACACGTTTTATTTTAATGCTGTGCAAATTCTACAGACACTGCATATTGATCTTGTAAGTGGCAGAAAATGGCTTTATCATGCTCAGGTTTGAGAGAGCATCACTTAAGACAAAGGCAGGGGAGGCGATTGCAAGACGGAAGGGGAAGTAATGAATTACCCATGGAAACAGTGATGTCAGAACAGGATTGCACTACTATTTCCCAGGAGGATGAAGCTACAAGTAACCCTCCATCACAAACACCAGCATCCCCGGTGCCTTGAATGACAGACTAATGTTGCTGGAATGCTTTGTTGACATTTCCACATGTTCATGTCCTCCAAGGTTCTGCTGGCTGAAGCACTTGTTTTATGTTGAAAGAAAACAAGAAAAGACACACACACACAGTAGGGCCAGAAAGAAACACGTATTTTCAGAAGCTTAATAAATACGTAACATAACTTGAATTTTAAAAACAAAGAAATTGATGTCTTCAAGGTTAAGAAAATAAACCTTAAAATGAAACATCTAGGATAAAGCCATTTTTTTCTGAGCTTGGTCAGCATAATCAAAATAAATACATGAATACACAGATTAGTAGCAGCATATATCAATTTACTGGCCAATGTGACAGCCTCATAAACATTTTATTTTCCTCTGCCCTCCCCCAGACCTTCTGCCAGACACTGTAATCATCATCCAGGCCTATGCTGGAAACATCCCATGGGCCTGTGAAAAAGAGACCAACCTGCAATCTCAGTAGCTCCTGTAACAATTAAAACCCACATGTATTTCTGAATGGAGATGTACTGTTATAAATTGAAGCCCATCAAATTTTAGCATAAAACTAACCAGGCTTTGGGCTAATTCCCTCTGCCATTCAAGAGGGATTTCAAGTTCTCTCTTTTCTATCTACTGGTTTTATATATTCAGCCCTTTCCCCCTTAACTGGAATCTACTGTGCACTGTACCGAAAAGGAAAGAAACTGTAAGATCCCACTCATGCCTGTTGAGGACAAATTGGAACAAAGAACAAGGAAGCACAAGGTCCCTTCCTCTAAAATCCTGAGACTACAAACACATAGTTTTTCAAGCCAGTTAAAATAAAACGGGCCAAAACCCAACAGGAGTATCAATATGAAATGGCCAGATTTGGGGATCTTCAAATCCGATCCAGCCACAAACACCCTAAAGCTGCATGGACATATATTTGGAAACAAGATTCATCAAACCCAGTAACACTTGTTTCTGCATACATATGTACAGAGTTTGGGTGTAAATGCCCTTAGTCCCACTAATATGGGCACATGTCTAATACTTTCCCACTGAAATCAAATGCATTTCAGAAGCGGGGATGGGCTTATTGTGTGTGTCATCCTCTCCCACCCCTTTTCTCCACTTCTCTAATACTGGGATTGAAATCTAGTGCCAAACTCACAGTGCTGGGACAAGGAAAACGGGCAGCGGGGAAAAACATGGTTACATGCAAAATAAATCTAAATGAATCAGTAAAACTGGCACCAGCAAGCAGGAACGCCCAAGTGCCCATTCTACCCTGTCGGGGTCAGAGAGATGAATATGAGTAAAGGGCCACAAAAGGCGGGCTTGCACAATGCTAGCATGGCTGCGCATTAGAAAGACTGAAGAGGTTGAATTCAGGACTACAGTACTTTCTCCAGACCTGAAGGGCAAGGAGGGAAAGGGTATGTTTCTTACTAGTACTCCACATAAAGAACCTTCCTGCATATGGTTTAGTTATGCATCAGAGACAGGAATACCCTTAACCTTACTCCCTGCTTTTCAAGTTTACGTGCAAGGAATTTGTATTTTTAAAGAGGCATGCCAAGTTCTCCCACTTGCATTTTGAAGTGGTACGGCCAACCACTTCAACCCGCGATTTCCTTTTGTGTAAAGTGTGGGTCAGCTTTAAGCAAGATCTACTTTTCCTGAGTTTTGAGAGGGAGAGGGGCAAGAAGAATGAGGCAATGCATTATTGCCCCAGTGCTAGAAGCAAAATAATAACAGCTCAAAACTGACAGATCAGGTGATTCAGCTGAGCTTCTGAAGTGGCACAACAGTTGCAAGACTTACTTCACTAGCCCCCACACCAAAACAGGAGTTTCACTCATCCATGATTCTGTGCTTTAGTGGGTGAACTGGCATCCTGCCCCGACGGGCAGCATGTAAAATAAAAAGGGAAACTCAATTCTTCCCAGGAGTGATGATATTTGGGAACATGCTTGGGACAAAAGGAGCTGCCCAGCTCTCTTCACTGCAATGCCAGCCACAGCCAGATGCTGCCAACTAAGCACAGCACAGACCCACCTGGCCTGGCCAGGTAGTTCATAAAATGCACCAGCGAGACATTTCCCATCACCAACGGGAATCTGAAGATTAGTCTCTGCTTCAGGCTGCCACAGTCCAAATACTGTCCAGCCTCTACCCTCCATTCTTGAGGTGCAATACTACTGCAGTACCCCTAAGCTCCTGAACTCCGTGGTTTGTGGCCATCCTATGGCAGAGGAACAGAGAGGAACAGCAAAGGCGGTCTCTGCCTACCCTTCCCCCACACTTCATTTTCCCCTAGAGTGTTTCAGAGGAGGGAGGGAAGGAGGCCAGGCGGGAGGAGTCAGGATCACCTGCCCCCTCCCTGGCCATTAGAATACTCCCTTCGCCCACCCTCCAAGGTTGCTCTCCCAACCTCAGAGAGCAGCTGAGAGGTTCTGCACCGCCGTGAGCAGCAATCAGGGCAGGGGATAACTTAAGATTCCCCGATCTGCAGTCAGAGCACTGCCTCCACCCTCAGCCCTGGGACTGCAAAACATCCTAGAGCTCCTCAGATGAGGCCGAGGAGCCACAGGACTGCTCCCTAAGTCTTACAGTATATTCCAAATCAAATGAAAACATTCTGGGGGGCTTTTCCCAATTCAGGTGCAAGTATGGGTGTTTCTTTGGAGGGGGGTTGTTTTGCTTGTTTTTGCAGGAAATGAAAGAGGGAAAGAAAACTCATTTTTAGCCATGAAGTTGAAGTTGAAGGATGGAGAAAGACATCTCCATCCAGCTGAACATCAAGAAAGCTTTCTGTCTGTCAGAGCAATATGGCAATGGAACCAATTATCAAAGGAGTTTTCAGTCCCTCCCACACTGCAGGGATTCCAGAAGCCCCTGGACAGCCATCCCTTAGGGATGTTTCTATTTGGAGTCCTACACTGAGCAGGAAGCTAGACCTCATGGTCTCCTTGGTCCTTTCCAGCTCTACAATTCTAAGATTCTATGTCACTTCACGTTCTGGATGAGCATCTTATCTTAAGATTAGCCATCTCTGTTAAGTGCAATGTGCAATGGAAATGACCACAGCCATTTTCCCGCATGTAGGCCATAGACAGAGAACAAGCTGGGAATTGTGTGCTCTGAAAAGCAAGATCCCAAATTCTGCCAGTGGAATGCTTCACTTTCATTCTATTGGACTTAACGTCACAGATTAGATTTAGACCCTATTTTGTTTAAAGCAAAACAAGACATTTGGAAACCTGCACCAGAATCAATTTGTTTAAGCTTCATAGAATACAGAATGTTAGGGAGGTCACCAGGTTCAGTGTTTTACTGACACCTTTTAAGTCAGGGGTGGGAAGCCTCTTTCAGCCCAAAAACTGAATTCAATTTCAGATAAGCTCTTGAGGGTTATTTCCAGATGGGCTTGACTGAAGCCAAAGAAAGCAGGTCCATAATATAAAATACCTCATATTTTCAATTAAAGTTCTTATGGGCTGTAACTAAGCCTTCAAAAGCCATGTCAGTCTTCTTGGAGGAAAAACTCCACAGAGATGGGAAGCCACCAAACAACTGGTTCTTTTGGGAAGGGGTGAAGTGAGAAGGGAGTACGGCCTTTTAGGAACCCCCAGAGGGCTGGAGTTGGTCTCCAGACCTGAAGTTTCCCATTCCTGACTTTCAAGAGGTCTACCCAAGCACTCATTCAAACCACCCTCTTACTCCTTTAACCGGTAGAACCTTCAAAACATTATTGAGAGTTGTTTAGTCCTCTGGTTCAACCTAGTGTTGAACAATTCCGTCCAGCAAAGGCTTGCCAAAGCCCCAGCCAGAGGTTTCCCATGTCTTCCTATCCAAGAGCCTTTTCTGAAAACAGAGGTACTTGGGATTAGACCTGGGACTTTTGACACATGAGGCTTGTGCCCCCCACTGAGCTACAGACCCCCTGAAAGTCTCTTTCAGCAGCTCTGCACTCCCCAGGCTGCCCTTTCTGCCATGGAACAACGCCATGGGGAGGTGGTGTGGGGGAGATGGCGTGGCTTGGCCTGCCTCTCTCTGGCTCTGGTGCACCTCCGGCCAAGTTCGCTCATGCAAAGGGGAGCACAAGGGCAGTGGGGAAGGAGGAAGGCAGGGTCCCCTCTGGAGGCAGTGAAGAGCCTTGGCTAATGCACAAACACAAGAAGAACACCTGGCATCCTACAGCGCATATTCCTGCCGAGTGGGAGCAAAGTTAAAACCAAAACAGAAAAACCCACCTTTATGATTTCACCTACTTTGCTGTTAGCTTTGCGGGTTGTTAAAAAACACAAGAGCGCTGGGGGACAGGCCTCCTAAGGCACAGAGCACAAAAGCAGGGCGCATGGCAAGCAGCGGGAGAAAGGAGCTGCTCCCTACTGGGGGGCTGCTGGGGTGAAAAGAGAAGCTGCTGCTGGCAGGTCACGCGTCTCATTGTACATATCCGAGGTTCTCCATTTCGTTCTTATACCGCTGTTCGGACACTTTGCTCTTATGCTGCTTGCTCTCCAGGTGCTGCCGGAACTCCACCTCCTCTCCGGCGCCGGCGTTGCACATGGAGCAGTAGAACTGGCCGCTGGGGGTGACGCACATGGCAAGGTCCCGCGGAATCCGCTGGCGGGAGCGCGGGTTGAAATAGGGCCCTACAGGAAGGACAAATAAGAATGGGTGACTTAGTCCAGCAGGGGAGGAACCGAGAAGCTGCCTGCTATGGAGTCAGTCCCTGGGAACATGGCCAAGCTGTGCACAGGGAGGCTCTGCTGGGGAAAAGGGGGCCCACAGCAATCAGGTACACACCCATGTGCCGAGCAGAGGCAGCATCTTTGGAGGTGCACACAAATTATGGCCGCGGTGCTGACAGCCCACCAGTTCTCACAGACAGGGTATGCACATGGGCACCTTCTGGCCACAAGCTCAGTAGATCCAAAGCCCTTCTGAGGCGTATGGAGACCTCTTAGCATAAAAGGACACTGAGACACCCCCACATCTCTCATCCACATGCCTCTGGCTGCCACAGCTGGACCACACAGCATGACACCAGAAAGGAAATCTCGACTGCACAGTTCTAAGAAGCCTCCAGAGCAGGGTGTGAAAGAAACCACAAGCAATGGAACAGGGAAGAGGCAATGCAGCAGGGGGCTGGGTGGTACCTTTCCCATTTTTCCTGCCCACTCATCAGCCAGGGCAATGCAGCACAGGCCTCTCTGCTCCTCCTCAGAGCTTGCACAGGTGATGTCCAGGACCATCTTTCCACCAAAGCCTTGCTTGGAGGAAGGACCCCTCAGAGCAATGCATGTGGACCAGGTGCTCTGGAAAGCCGCACTGGCTGCTCTCTTTTCTGAACAGCCAGTGGGGATTCCCAGTGGGTCAAACTCCCCATTCTCTGGGCGGTTCTCCAAGTGAGGCGCTGGGTGGATGGCGCTCCAGAGAGCTCTTCCAACTGCTCTCCCATTGTGGCAAGCGCTGTGACAGGAGCACAAGCTGCATGGCCTTCTGCAGCTGTGGCAAGCGACCAGATCTCCTAGCAATGGCAGGGCATGTGGGAGCTGCTGGTCCTCTTGATCTGCCACCTGAGGCAGGCAATTCACGAAAGAGCTGGTCCTGCCTGCACCCTGCCACTGCAAGTGTGGGAAAGTGTGCAGGGCTAACCCCACTGCTGTTTCAGGCAGGAGATTTGGGGAGTCATGAAAGGCAGCAAATGAGGATTCATGACACTTACTGTGATTGCACTTTTCCTGCCAGCATCGGGCTTGTCAAAATAACTTGAGCAGCAGAAGCTACTGAGCCATTCGACCCTGTAGGGGGTGCCATGTGCTACCCCACGGCAGGCAGCAAAACATGCTGGACGGTCCCTGAAAGCCAGATTGCACCCTCCTTTCCTGCACTGCCCGGTGGAAGTATCTGTCCACCCTCCTATTCCACCAGACTCTCCAGATATGCAGATGCTGCTTATCTTTTACAGACACCAAAATATGCAAGCCAACACCTCAGTAGTCTGTGCTACTTTATACTCCTGGGCTAGTTGCTTGCAATTTATAGTGTTCCTTAATGGTTCAATGCACCGAGACGATTCATCTGGTGCAAGTGGCTCTGGCTTACACATGACTGATAAATAAGAATTGGTATTATGCAGTGATCAGTGCTTTTTCCTATTCTGTAATTAACTTGCAATGTTCCAGTGCTAATGTTAGTGCAATGAATGGTTTGGATTGTTTATTATTGTAGTGATGTACTATTGTAATTGATAGAGGGGTTTGGAAAGAATCATTTGGGAAGAAGCTCATAGAAAATTCTGGGACACATTAAAAGAGGAAAATTGAAAAGGGCAGATTAATGTGGCTCAATTGGCAGGGGAGAACTGGGGAAAGTTTGCTTATGACTAGGTTCACCAGAGAAGACTCTGCAAACACAGAAGGCAGAGTGGCAGGGCAGGCAAGTGCAGTGGGCAGAAACACACAATGTCAGCCCCAGACGGTACCTCTTATCTGTCCAGGAGAAGACCCTTCAAAGAGCAAAATGTTTTCTGCAGATATTTTAGTTACTCTTTCAAGCAAACCAAAGTACCTCCTGAGCCATTCAAGACAAGGAAGCAGACTGTCTGTCTCCTGGATTGTTTATTAAAGTTCAGCATCTGAAATGCCAAGGGCGAGGGGGAAAGGATGCCCACAACAGATGGCCTTGCAGGGTGGCTAACCTGCCCTGCTCTTCCAGACGGGAGCAACACGAAGAGAATGCAAGAGTAGGACGGCAGGAGTCCAATGACCTGGCCACAAGCCAGGAAAATAGAGCCGAACATTGTCTCTGCATGGAGTGGCAACAGAGAAGGGCAGATGGTAAATTGAGATACGAGGTGAGAAACCGAAGCTAGCTAACAGCCCGCCAAACCCAAGCGACTCTGAACACTGAGGGGATGAAGGCAGATGGACAGACTGGGGTCAGCAAATATCAGACATGCTCACAAAGCAAGGCTTCGGTCATGTCAGCCCACATTCTCTGTAGCCAAAGACTGCTGGTTTCTTTAAGCATCAGAACTTCAGGCCAAAAGCTTCTTGCAAGTAACAGTCAGAAGAAAAACTGAAGCCCCAAACAGTGCAAGACAGCACCATCGACTTTGCCACTCTCAAGCAGCACTTCTGGCCTCTTTACTGGTTATCACCTTTTCCAACTCCACCTGGGAGTTGTAGTCCAGCAACATGTGAAGGGCCAGAGGTGCCCCTCCCTTGCACCTAGAAGCACCTGAATGGCCAGTGGCTGTTTCAGATGCCAGATCCAAAGATGAAGAGAGTGTGCCAACCTCAGAGCTGGGAATCGGAGCTCTGACCATTCAAAGAAGTAGGCTGACTGCTCTCCAAGGTCAGATAGGTGACTGTAGAAAGGGGTAAAAGGGGTTGCTTTGGGAGAGGGGAGGAGGATATTAAGCCCTGGCAATCGTGCAAACTGGTCTATTTTGTTTTCTCCAATTTCTACTCAACTATTTTTTTCCTTCATTGCCCCCTTACTGTCAATCTCTCAGTCCACCGTATTATAAGATAGAGGGAAGTATCTGTCTCTAATGCAATGTGCATGGATGGATGGACTGCATTTCTGCACAATCCAACAGCCAAAGTTCTCTAGGCAGTTCACAACAATTAAAATACCATTAAAAGTTTAAAATTGTGGTATATAATGAAATAAAAACGGCCAAACAAAACCTAGCAGCAGTGCAAAGATTCAAAATACAGTAACAGATTTTAAACAACAGAAAATGAAAAAAAAATAAAATGTACTTTCCTCCAAAGAGTTCAAGTATGTGATTATTTCCCCCACCATTTTTCTTAAATCCTCAGCAACCCTGTGAGGAAGGTTATGCTGAGATATGGTGAGTAGTCTCAGGTCTTGAATGGCAGAGTGGGCATTCGGAGGCTGGGTTTCCCCACTCTTCTTCTAGCATAGAGATCCCTACACCACACCAACTGAGTTCAGGCAGCATGATCATTCACACACAAGAGTTGAGTATGGGCTGAATGTGGGTTGTTAGATGCAGTGAACACCCCACAATTCACAACCTAACCAAAAAAAAACCCAAGCATTTTCTTCATAGGTGGTATGTGGTTAATGGATGAAATAATTCATAATTCACTAACAAATCAGGTTCAGTGACAACCTACACTGAACTCAGAGTCATCCTTGCACATGGGTAATCATGCAGTCTGAACCCAACCCTTTAGAAATATATTAGGAAAGCTTTGACCTGCTATGTTTCAGGCTCCAGCTTTAGATCTGAATCAGATTACCAACTGCAGCAGTTAATCAGTTGACTTAGTTAACTTGACAACAACTTAGCTGACTTCCTGCAAAATGAGCTTTCTAGTTATAGCTGCAAATAAATATTCTCTGTAGAAGAGGATGCAAGCACTGAAAATACCTGTGTTGTTCTGGACAGCATATATGTTTCTTCTGTTCTGCATCATCTTGTATTCGCCTCCTTCCTTCCGCACCCTCCTTTTGCCTACCACATCTGATGTCTCCCTGACATTGAAGACATTAAACAAAACAAAACAATTGGAGAGAGGAGGGAGAGGGAGAGGAGATGCATTTTTCTGACACCCCTGGAAGAGGTTAGTGGAAGCCACTGGGAGAGTTATAACCACCCATGCTCGAGAGCGTTCAGCAATACCTACGAGAATGAGTTGTTCTGTGCTTCAGCCAGACGCAGCCTCTTGGCGTGATTCTTCCCTTGATAGTGGGCCTGGGCCACAGCCGGCGAACTGAACGAAGCGTCGCACAATTTACAGTAGTCATTCTCTGTGGCCAGGATCACGCGCCCCCCTGGTTTCGAGGAGGCCCCCTGCACAGAAAGGAAAAGTTGTTCAGACATTGCAAAGCAGCTTTTGCTTCTAAAACAGAGCAAAAGCCTGTATTTATGAGGCTTTGACCCCAAAGAACCACCAACTTGGAACGTGGTAACCCAAAAGGTTGCTTCCGCCCACACATACCTGGCCAGACCCTGAGTTTATCCTCAGAGGCCCTTCTCCAGGTACTCCTGCCAAGTAAAGTGCCATGGCTGACTACTGGGAAAAAGGTCTGTGTTTGTGATTCCTTCTGGTACCAGAGGATATAATAATGAAAGCCAGTGTGGTAGTTAAGAGAATGAGCTGTGAGACAGGAAGCTTCAGTTTTGTTCTGTTTTAAGTGAATTGACTGGCTGGGAATACTAATCTGCCTTCGAACACTGTTGTTGTGTCCCAAAGTGGGGTTCCACATGGGCACTAGTAACATGACAGGTTAATTAACGTTAATAAACAGCTCCCTGTCAGGGCTATAAACCAGATACAGCATTCTTGGACAGCTGTCAAGGCCTACCTCCAATGTCTACCCTAGACCTGTCTTTTCAAATCAGCTGTGCCTGGGAACCACCATTTTAGTTTCCCATGATGCCTCCAAGGTAGTGCCATACCAGGGCATTAGGGGAAATGTAACTGGCCACTCTCCAGCACCTGACTACATGTTGCTGCCCCTAATATGAGCAAAGTCATTGGAGGAACTCAGTGGGCAACCCATTTGCTAAAGGTCCTCTCAAATCTGGGACCAGCCTTGCTACAAATACATGGGCTTGTGATGGATTATTACTAGTCTACAGGGGTGGGCAACCTGTGGCCATCCATATGTTTGGCTTAGAACTCTCACCATCCTTTACTGCTGACTATGCTGGCTAGGCTGATGGGAGTTGTAGGCCACAGGAGGGCCAGGAGCGGCATCTCCCTGGCCTAAGAGAAATGAGGGGTGCATGGTCCAGTGGCTGGGTTGCATTTAAGAAGGGTGTGCATGTCTAATTAGTTGCACCCCAGTCCAGAAACAGCTGTGGGGATTACCCAGGTAAAGTGCTTTGGATGACTGAAAACTGACTTTCCCCATCTTCAAACACAAGTCCTTAAGGGGCAAATCAATGAACTAGAGCATGATTGGTTCCTGCCCAGAAATTCATTTTTTAAAAAATAGACATGGACACAAATTCAGACACCATTAGTTCTGGGTCAGATGACATGAGGCTCCACCATGGGTCCTTTAATCCACAGGGTACTGTGGTGCATGCATCCACCATTAAGAACATGCAAGCCCTGGCTGGGTGTTGTTGTGGACTGGCATGTCGTTTGAACCTGGGTGGTGGAGGGTTGGGTTCAAGAACGCTCACAAAACCTCTGGAAACCCTCGGCCGGGGCCTGTATATTCATGTGTGTGGCCAGCACTGCCACAGCTCCTGAACCTACACTGGGCTTTCAGGTCACATGAACTGGTCCCAAGAGTGACTCAAGCGATACCTAGTCCATAGATGCTTATGCCACAATGAATCTGTTAGCCTTTAAAGTGCCACACCAGACAAACGCAGCTGTCCCTCTAGAGTAAAGCAGTGAGATCCCACTGACTTCGACAGGCAAGATTAAAGCACATGCACCACTGAATTTTTCTTGGATTGACAAGGAGTGAAAACAGTGGCTGGATCATATGCCAATGTTGTCAACATACGAATTTTCACAGGCAAACCATTTCAAAAAGGCATTCCATGATGACCAAAGGTTAGGAAAGGCCTTTAGAAGAGTTAAGGATAAATTCAAGGATAAACTGTAATGAGGACTGGCAAAGCTCATGTTCCCCAGCAAGTGGTACCCATGGGCATCCTGTCTCTGATACTGGGGGCTGCATGGAGCCACCAGAACAACCATCAGTGGATAGACTTACCCTCCACGAATTTGTCTATTCCCTTTTTCAAGCCGTGCACACTGGTGGCCATCTAGTGGTAGCCAATTCCATGGTTTCACTTAGGCTGCATGAAGAAGCACTGGCTCTCCTTTTCCTGAATCTCCCACCCTTCACCTTGATGGGCTGAACACAGGTTCTGGTATTATGGGAGAAAGACACCTTGCACATTTATCAGGTCTCCCCTTACTGGCTCTTTTCCTAAGCTAACAGTCCCAGCTGTTGTAACATTTCCTTGTGTGAGAGAGAGACACTACAACGTTCCTTTAATAAAGGATTGTTTCATTCCGCTAATGGCTGGCAGTGTAATGCAGCTAATGCTTTATAAAAATATTTTGGGAATGTACACTAGTCACTACTTTTGGAGAGGAAGTTATTACAAAGATAAAAGTTGTACTGGAACAGGCTTTAATATTTAGAGTTGCAGCCCCAATTCCTATGTATGACAGTGAAGAAAGCTGATGGGAAGAAAATGGATGCGTTGGAAACATGGTGCTGGAAAACAGCTTTGCAAACACCCTTTACTGACAGAAAGACAGACAAGTGGGTTGTAGATCAAATCAAGCCAGAACTTGCCCTAGAAGTAAACATAACAAACCGAGGCTGTCATACTTCAGGCACATCATGAGAAGGCCAGAGTCATTGAAAAAGTCAAAAATGCTGGGGAAAGTCAAAGGCAGAAGAGGAGGATCGATTCCACAAAGGAAGTCACAGCCTTGAGTTTACAAGAGCTGAGCAGTGATGTCAAAGACAGAACATTTCAGAAGGCACTCATCCCTAGGGTTGCAGTAAGTTGGAGACAACAACAGGCACACAATTAACTTGTTTACCTATTTCACAGAAAATATCAAATCATCAGCATAAACAGATTCTCCAAACAGTTTTGGCAGCTAAAAGGTCAATACAACACTGGGTGGACAAATATTCACATCCTATAATGCAATGGATTGAAAGCTCTACAAAGCTTTCGCTCCATAACAGGATCCACATAGGCACCATCTTGAAAAGGACATGAATTTGGACATCTGGTCCTCTTCCATTGAAGTTAGCATAATTGCAAGAAAGTTGTGCGCATTTCATATGTATTCATTGCTATGGATGCATGCATACATACATGTGTTTGTGTGTGTGTATAAAAGGTAAAGGTTTCCCCTTGACATTAAGTCCAGTCATGCCTGACTCTTGGGGGCGGTGCTCATCTCCGTTTTCAGGCCGAGGGAGCCAGCGTTTGTCTGCAGACAGTCTCCATGGTCATGTGGCCGGCATGACTAAACACCAAAGTGCATGGAACGCTGTTACCTGCCCAACGAAGTGGTACCTTTTTATCTACTTGCATCTGCATGCTTTCGAACTGCAAGGTTGGCAGGAGCTGGGCTGGAGCAATGGGAACTCACCCCATTGTGCAGATTCGAACCGGCGACCTTTCGATCAACCAGCCCAGCAGCACAGCAGTTTAACCCACTGCGCCAGAGCCTCCCTATTGTACAGACATATACATATATTTTAAAAATGGGAAAACAGAAGGTCTGGCAGGTCCTCAAACGCACCATGTTAGGGACCCTTTCATGGGCAACATGATACCAATGGGTGCTAAATGCAGGACTCTAATCTAGTTTACCCCTAAGTTTTAATGTGCACACTCCACTTTTCTACAGAAAAGTGAAACAGAACAAGAAATAAATGCAGGGGGACACTTCAAACCAGAATACACCAGAATTAAAAGCAGCAGGGCATGCAATGCCCCCTCTCTTAAAAGAAGGCATTCATATCCTTGTCAGTGAGGCTACAGTCAAGAACACACAGTAACCTAGGAGTGTGTCCCACTGAATTCAGCAGGTCTTACTCCTAGCTAGACATGCACAAGATTGCACTGAAAGGCTGCAGTCTTATACACACTTGCCTGTGATGGAAGTGACACTGCTGGATTTGTGGCTGGCTCAAGCGAGTTGCTCATTCTGGTAGGTGCTGGACAGCTATTGGCAGCATAGTAATTCCGAAGCTTCTTGCTGTGGTTTTTACCCTGCAAAGAACATTCAGGTTAAGAGCTGTCACAGGCTCCCTCTCTCTCTATAACGCCCTTGGACTGCCAATCTGGTCTTCTGTGGTTCTCTAGACGGCCTTGCCACTTTCCCTTGACCCTACCCCAACCATGGGTTATTTGGTGGTTTCCTGGCTGTTGTGCAGGTTTCCCCCCATTCTAACAGCTGGAATGCATCTCCTATAGCCTACATACATGCAGGAAGAACTTTAAGCTAAAATAGGCTGGCATTTCTGGTAATTTAGTCTTGCCAGGACTGAAGTGCAGCTCTTACCAGCTTCAAAACATATGTGAGACTTCCAGTTAGGAGAGGTTCCTCACCCCAGTGCGTGCACACACCCACGGAATGGGGCTGTCAGTAGTATTTCCTATGAAAGCTGAAGCAAGCCTTGAACATATTTAACAAAGAAAACATGTATAGGGCTTCTCTCTCTCTCTCCATCAGTCTGATAGAGGATTTTCATAAGGATGTAAAGACTATCCCTTAATAGGCACAATTTTGGGGGTGCAAAATTGATGCAAATGAGTTGAAGGACCAGCTGTGATTTAAGCATCCAAAACTGCACACAGCACAGTAACAGTTATTGGTCAGTGCAATTCACATCATGTGGGGTATTTTCCCATCAGTGCCAAAAAGAGTCTAGGCCTGCTGTTGTGTCTGCATAGAGACCCTCTTTAGGATGCTTTGATTCTGTTCAAGTTACAGTGACCCTCGACAGCAAGAGGGTGCCCTTTCCCCTCTTCATACAAGAAAGCTGCACCATGAAGGGACGGGATGGAGGATATGGAGCTACTCTCAGGCTCAGCTTTCTTGAGAAGCAGAAAATGATATACAAGGAGGAGGGACTGTGCCTCTGAGCAGCCAATGTGCTTCATGTACACTGTTCGAATCCGTACCACTGGTAAGGTAAAGTAGGCAATTTATCGGTTGTAACGGGGTTGTGACTTGCCTAAGGTCACAACCGGGGCAACCCAATTCATAGCTCAGCCTCTTCGCCAGCAGGCCAGAAGAGTGCATGAGAAAAAGTACTAGAGCATCTTTCCTAATCAACTTTCTCACCAAACACCGCCAGGCAGGGTCCTGCCTCTGCCTGTACCGCTTCTGGAAGACCCAGCGACCTCTGGATACTGGAAATGGAAATTCCCCACACTGCCCTCCTCACCTGATAATGAGCCTGGGCCTGCTGTGCAGAATTCAGGGTGACATTGCAAAGCCTGCAGCATAAAGGCTTACATAGTTCCTCCAGCACTGGGTCCTGCTCCACCCCTGTAGCAGGTTCCTCATCTTGGGCAAGTGGCAAAGATGGCCCCAGTCCTAGAGGTTTCTGTGGGGAGAGTAACAAGTTGGCTGAGGGCCTGGTGGCCACTGACATAGGAAGAGCTGAAGCCGTCTCAGGAGGAGGAGGAAGGCCAGCTTGCTGCAAGAGGATCATTGGTTGAGAACACTTCAGGCATCCTTCTTTTGAAGGCAGAAGACGACGTCTGATCTAGACAAGAAACACAGAGAAATTCAGCTAGAGAGGAGCCTACAACAGCAAATTTGATGGGCCCTAAGGATACGGATAACCCTTGAAAAAATCAGTTTGTGCAATCAATATGTGACATTCTCCCTGCCCACCTCTTCTCCCCTCCCCCAGTCCACGACCATCACAGCCCACCCAGCTTCCAAAATTGCATTCCAGCCATTAACATTCAGCCACTCCTGTCTCTTTAAGGCAGCTCTCCCCAACCTCATTCCCTCCACACTGGCTGAAAATGCTGAAATTACAGCCCAGCACACCCGGAAGGCACCAAACTGGAGAAGGTTGCGTTAAAGGGATTTCCCTCCAGGTTCTTTTCTCTTAGGAATTGCTTTCCTCAACTCTGCTCTTCCAGCCGTTTTTCCCCCAGGGGCCACTCTGCCTTTCCTGGGGTCCCCAGTTATCAGCCCATTGCTTCCCCTAGGAGTAGACAACCTGGTGCCCCTCAGATGCTTTGGACTACAATTCCCATCAACCACAGCCAGAACAGATAAAGGTCAGGTGTTATGTGAGTGGTAGGCTGAAACATTGTGCATAGGCCCCTTCATCCCTCTACTCTTCCTACCTCCTGGGCACTCTCCATGCTCAGCTTCCTTGGCCTGCCCACCATCTTTGCTTCTTCTCTTGCTATGCACATGGAGCTGCTCCAATCTTTAGGCCCTTCCAGTCAAACTGACCTTAGACTTCCTTCATCAGGGTTGGCCAAAGATATTCTACTGCCTGAGATGAAGGTTCATCCCCAATTCTTTGTCTAGAAACTGATGGATTGGCTGTCAAATCTTATTCCAACAGCGGCAACAGGACAGTATCCTCCACTGCACCTGAAGGAAGCAGGTTAGCTAGGAGATGCACAGCAATATCCTCCAACAACTTTGCCACCATTCCTGGACCACTATCAACTGCTGCCTGAAGCTGCTCTCTCACTTTGCCTTATGGTAGGACTGGCCATGTCATTCAGCATGGCTGTCATTCCTTTTTGTCAAATTCCTACCATCAACAGAGACCCACTAAACACTCAGAACTTTCATGAACTGTCTCTTTCTCATTACAAGTTAGCTTACTTAGGGAATCACAGCCTGAAAAGTGTCTGCCAGATTTTAACCTAATTATATGCAACTGGAAAGTATTATTGTTGCTGTTGTTGTTGTTACTTTATAATTATGCTGGTCTTTTCTTCCTCTTGCAAGGAACCCAAAGGGGTTTCCAAGGTTCTCTTCCTCCCCGTTTTATCCTCACAATAACAACCCTATGAGGTAGGTTAAGCTAAGAGTCCATGTCTGGCCCAAAGCCACCTAGCTACCTTCATGGCTGAGCGGGGACTAGAACTCAGATTTCCTGAGTCCCAGTCCAGCACTCTAACCACTATACCACATTGGCTGTTCAGCATCCACTACTAGATTAGACCAACAGATGGTGGTCTCTGCCAACAGATGGTGACCAGCAATCCTGGAAGAGTTTGTCCTGTGTAAGCATTAATTACTGGAGTGAATTTAGGAATTTTATATCCTTCCTCATGCATCAATTCCAGGTCAGTCAACAGTGACACAGATAAAACAATCAAATCATAATAAAGCAAGGTAAAGCAAGGTAAATAAGACCAGTGGCAGCATACAGCACAGAATCAAGGAAAATATGGAGCCATGATATTTACCAGGAATGCTATAAATGGTGACCTGCATACCCGGACGGAAAAAAAGGCAGATAATATCTGTTTGAATGCCAGGCACACATTTTGAACACACCAATATCTGTTATATGCTGGGAGGAAAATAAGCAATTTACTAATCTTGTATTTGATTTAAATAGGGAAAATACTGGGAAAATACCACGGACAAGACCCTTTATTTAAAATAATATAAGATGGTGGGGAAAATTCATCCCATGCTGCAATATTACCCCCGACTACAATATTTTACTCTTTTCACAAAAAGATGAATAGCACCCATTTACTTATATGAGAGAATGTAAAAAGCTCCTTCCCATACACACATGCTTGACCTTTGAGATCAGCCTCACAGCCCAGTTAACCTTCAAGATCTCGTGTATAAAGAGACGTGGCCTTCTTGGTGGTGGTGCCACAACTGTGAAACTCCCTTACAAGGGAAATTTGCTGGCCTGCCTCTCTTCCCAACTTTTGGCAATAGCAAAAAACAAAAATAAAAGTTTCTAATTCAAAGAGAGTGTGCAGGTTTTGCCATCATCACAATGACATATGAATGTGCAGACTTCCTCCAACGGCTGAAATCCATTTCGACAGGAACAGCATGTACATCAGGAATGCCCCTTCCCACCTGCATTCTAGGCAGGATCCTGTTTAGGCACAGCCCTCACCTCAGCTCTGTTTTCCATTATATTAAAGTGAAATTTAGGGAACTGTCTGACAGTTCAATGACCAGCCACATAATAAGGGGAGGAATGAGAGAAGGCCTGAAGATAGGCTCAGACAAAGGCTCCAAGCACACAACACCGTCCTAGTACCACACAGAGCTGCTATCAAGGGCCACCCCTGTGCCTAAACCATTTTATACTGATGTCCAAAGTAATGTGTTATTAGGTTTATACCCCACCTACCTCTCCCTTGTATTTCCACAAGAACCCTGTGAGGCAGGTTAGGACAAGAGAAGGTGACTAGTTCAAGGTCACCTAGGAAGATGTAAGGATGAGTAAGACTGTTGACCTGGGTGTCCTCAACTGTAGTCCTCCACTTCAACCGTCTTCTCCATGGGTGCCCACCAGCAGTATTGGACTGCAACTGGACAACCGTCTTGTTGTCTGGGATCAAAAGAAGCTGTTGTGTGACGTGCTTCCTCAACTTGGAGAAAGCTGCTCTAACCATGACGCCACACTGTTAAAGGCTTTATGACTCATTGAATCCACTCGTACGTCTTGGTACCGTTTCCAATCATATTTTTTCAGAAAGAAAAACTACATCGAGCAACATTTTATCTCCTCCTATGACCTTTGCAACATATAAAGCACATCACACTATGCTTCCACGTTTACAGGCTGGACCTAGAAACTTTCATCCTCTGCAAGGGAAAAGTTTAATACAATTCAGAAAAAGATGACATTTAGGATATCACAATAGAAATGTGAATTGTCTGGAACATCCCCAATCTAGGGTCTACAGATGTTTTATCTGCAACTTCCATCATCCCTGACCATGGGCTTGGGCTGATGAGAGCTGCAGGCCAAAACATTCCAGATTGTGGAATGCGCTCCCTGGAGAGGTTTGCCTGGCACCGAGCCTATATTCTTTTCAGCGCCAGGTGAAAACCTTTTTATTTAAGTGTTATTTTAAAAATTAGTATTTTAATAGTTTTAATCAGTCGCTCTTGGTTTAATTTTCATTGGCTGTATATTGTTTTATATTTGTATTAATTGTTTATTCATTTTTGATTTTCATGTTTGTAAGCCATCCTGAGATGCCACACATAGAGGACGGCATATAAAAGTTTTAAATAAATAAAAAAACAATAAAACAACCAGAGAGACCCAAACTGAGGAAGCTTTCCATAGAAATTAACTACCATGAATGTTTGAACACATTCAGAGTCCATGTGTGGTTCAATTGGTACTTTCAGAAATCTTCCATAGTTCCACACCTGGAGATATGAAGGATTGGGGGAAAAGGAAACTAAGGGGGGGATCCCAAATGTTTCAACTTTTCGCCCCATCCCAGGCCCCATGTGCCACTTCAGCTTGAAGGTTTTTGCCCCCAGACATCTTCATTATCATTTTGTACCAAGGTGGCTTGTTGTTGTTGTTCAGTCACAAAGTAGTGTCCAACTCTTCACAGCCCCATGAACAACATTTCTCCAGGTTCTCCTGTCCTCCAGGTTCTCCCCTGGAGTCCACCCAACCCCACACCCCCCTCTCTAGTGACCCCATCCAGCCACCTCAACCTTTGCCACCTCCTTCTCTTTTTTCCTTCAATCATTCCCAGCATCAGGGTGAGGTGCCTTACAGAGCTCTATTTCATCCTCAGAACAACAATTCTGTAAGGTAGTTTGGGCTGAAAGTTTGTGACTAGCCCAAAGTTACCTGGTGATGCCATGGCTGAGTAGGGACAAGAACCCAGCTTTCCCAAGCCCCCAATACAACCACTGCCTTCTCCTGCATAAATTCCTTGCATTCGGAACAGCACTTGAAAAGAGAAGACCAAGTTCTCCCATCCAAGCTTCTTCTTCACACACGCAAGAAGTTTTGTTCCAATCTGAAAAGGTACAGTCTAGGAAGGCAAAGCTGGACTAGAACTCGTCTCAGCAAGGTGGGGAGGGGGGACTTCCAAGATCTGCAGGATTTTTAAAAAATATATATTAAAATATGAATCATAGGAAGAGTTCATTCTTATGGGTCTTCTCCAAAAATGATCCAATGGAGAGTAAACCAAAGACAAGTACAAGAGAACACGGACTATTTGCTAAAAGCACTAAGATTTACCAAAATAGCTAATGCAGCTCAATGGTCAGAATGCTGTTGTGTTTTTGACCAGGAAAATGAGATTCAGGTTATCAGTTTGACCCATGGATTCTGTGAATGAGATTTATGCAAAACTAGTTTCTTATCCTCAGCTCCTCCTCTGTAAAATGCAATATGGGGAGTATACAGGATTGTAAGTCACTTTGTCCACTAAAACACTGTGTGCTTCCCTTTTTAAGGTACAGCATCCAAGCCACATTAATGAGAGCAGTACTACAAACAAATGGAAAGGGCAAATTAATTAAGGTAAGACTCATCCTTTCGATGGCCAGGACAGCTAAGAGGAGGCCTCCTTGTTCAGAGGGACACATGTTTCCCACTGACATGCCTTGATGCTGAGTTTCTTTTCTCCCCATCCTGCATCTGGGCAGCTGAAAACAAACTGCTGGTCTAAATAGACCCCTGGCTGATTCAACAAGAGAATCTTTCTAATCTTGCACCCAATACCACACAGCAATCTTCCCCCACCCTGGCACCCTACAGATATGTTGGACTACAATTCCCATCATCACATCACACAATGCACTGCAAGAGAAACAAGCTGCTGCTAGGTAATGGGAGGTGTAGTCTGATATATCTGGTGCCAGTTTGGGACGGGGTAAAGGATGCTATGTGAACATCCACTGCAAGGAAAAAGAACATCTGGCTGCGGATTATGGGAGTTGTCGTCCGACACGTCTAAAGACCCCCAGTGTTCCCTCCAAGCACGCAGCACATTAGCAATGCACTGCAAGGAAGGCAAGTATCTTCCCCAAACGGATCTGTCCCTTCCCCCACAGCGCTCAGAAAACACATTTGAAGGCGAAACGTGCAGCGCGATCCTACGCTTTCTACTCGCAAGCAAAACCCGCTCCGGCCAAAGGCGCCTCCTCCCGCGCAAGGTACAAGATCGCGGCTCTTCCCCTTCCCCCGCCCTTTCGGATGCCGGTTCCGGGCATCCCGTTCTTCCCAGCCCCCAGAAACGACGACGTCCAACAAGGACCTACCGGCTTCGCAAAGGCAGGCTCACAAGCGGCTTCTGCAAGGATCTTCCCGGAGATGGAGAGCCGCGCGCCGCACACCCGGGCTGGGCGCCTTCAGCTCCTTCTCCCCATCTTCCTCGCCAACTTAAAAGCGGGTCGCGTCCAGCGCACTGGCACCTAAGGCGCTACAAAGGAGATGCTTTGGGGGCGGCGGATCGGCATCACCGGACACAGATGGAAACAGCTGCAGGAAGTGACTGCAGAGCAAGGAGGGAGGGGAGGAGACTCCGGGAAACTGCCCTGTCACGTCTTTCCCAGGGCGCATGGGTCTTCGGCGCCTAGTGGAAGAGCTGCGGCCCCGATCCTGGGGAGGTGTTTGGCGGGGCGGGGCGGGGCAACCCGATGTTAGTCCCTCCCTAGAGGGCTCCTATTGAAATGCATGGGAACTCAGTGAGCCATGACTTAATTCACGTCTCATTTATTTCAGTGGGACTGCTCCGCGTAGGATTAACGCTGCCTGTTATGCGTTCCTTGAGAGGATGCTCCTGTTGGACTTAGAAGCCTTCGGTCACGAAGCAAAGCTTCGGACAGAGCACCCGCTTTCTTGCATGGCGAAGGGCTTCGTTTCATCTACTCTGGACACCTCTTTCTTTTGAATGCAGTCCTATATCCCCCCACCCCCGTATCCTCGATCCCTAACCTCAATGGGGCTTACTTCAGAGTAAATACGTGCAGATCACATACCTCTGCAAGTTAAGGTGCAATCCTATGCAACTTTAGCCAGAAAAGGACCTCTAATTCCAAGCCCTCTATGAATTAAAGGGCCTTCTCCCAAGCAAATAGGTATAGGATGGGACCCTTACTCCCAACTACATTTTGCAGGTAGGGTTTCAGTTGAGAAGCATAATCAATCATGCTTAATTTGAAGCCCTGAGTTCCGTTTTACCCATGTAAGAGTGCTGCATAGCAAAGTCCCACAACTCTTCGCATGTCCCAGCCAGCTGAGAGTTACAGACCTTTCTGCTCTCCGAACACACATAGATTGTGTCCTGAGTCTGTTAAGAGCAAACATAGAATAGGGTTTGTAGTGCATCTTAACAAATTGTGACTTCACCTTATTTTATGTACATTTGAGATTTGCACAAATATCACAAGTTGAATCTTGTGCATTTCATAAACCGGTTGGCCCTACACCTTGCATGTAATGGGTGAGTTTAATGGATTCCAGCATTTCCTTGGTATTTACTCCTGAGAAAGGGAACACAGGAGGCATGTGAGTTCTCTTCCCTGAAAGGCTTATTTACACTGAGTTCAAGATAAGGGTCCACCACATTTCTAGGCCAACAGGCCTCTAGTTCATTCTCAGCTGCCTAGGGATTATTTTCTCAAGGTCCCAAGTCAGCATTTTTGCTCCTATTTGTTCAAACTCTCCAGCCTGACTTGCTGCAACTCCTCTGATCTCCTGGAACAAAAGCTACCAATTCAACAGCTGGGGAGTTCAGGGGGGTCCTCAATCATTATGTGATCAGAGGCACTGAGTTACAAGGGAAGGCAACCCCTGAAAAACAATCTAGATTGGCCTCCGGCACACAACACCACAAATAGCCCACAGCATTTAACACAGTGCATCTGATGAATTGAACCTGGATCCACAAATCTTGGTCTTGAAGGTGACATGAAAGTATTTGTGCATGCATTAATCTTGCTTAATTTTAGATAGAACTGGCTCCAAGTTATTTTACTGCCCTAAGAGTACGTGTTTAGAGTGAAAAAATGTTTCAGACTCCCAGCATTTCCCAGTCTGCACCTTCAACCCTTGTCCCCCCCTTCCCGTTGTTGAGACTTTCCAGGTGTAACTTTCCACACATCTCAAGCAGGGCACCTGATTATACATCTTCATGTGTGTACTCAAATGATCTCTAGAGCTTATGACCTACCTCTTAGCCTAAATATCTGCTGCTCAGTAGCATATGTATCTCTGTTTTGAGGTGGTAAGCATTATGGGGGGAAAAACAGGCCTGGGAAATGACTTTGTCCTATAAAATCAAGTGTTCCCAGAGCACTGAGTGTTTCCAGAGTGCTGTCACCCTCTCTGAGAGGTCCGCTGCAGCAAACCTTTGCTCAGCCCTGAGTAAGGCTTTTATGAGTGCAGTCTCTGTCTAGTGTGGTCCATGAAACTGCAGCCTCTGCAGCTGCCAAGGCACTATACACCTAAAGCTCACAAAAATTGGTCTAAGTCATAATTCGCTAAGGGTGTGATCCTGTGCATGTTTAGAGAGAAAAATGTCTTACAACACCCAAAGGCAGCTGTAGCCCTTTTTCTGCCTAAACATTCATAGGATTGTGCCATGAATGCTTTTCTTTTCAGGTGGCTGGTAGTTGAATCCAAGGAACACATGGAACCACCACAATGATCTACCCTACCAGTTGATGACACAGTCTTTCAGATTCCTTAAGCCTTGGGGGGGGGGGGCGTCTTACACTTGTGCTAATACCTTAAACTTGGTCTGAAAGCATATACATAATTTGTATATTATATATTATAACAATGATAGCAGATGCAGTTAAGAGTATAAGCACATATGAACTATGGGGTGAAAGGTTTGCACTTCAACTCTCAATATTCCTTGAAGACACTCATGGCTTGAAGCAAGCTACTAATCTGTGAGCATCCAATATACACAGAAGGGAGCATCCAACCAACACACTACCCCCATTATAGCAATAACATCAGACTCCTCTGCTGGGCTATTTGAAGGAATGCTGAGAAAAAGCACATAGCGTGCTTCAAGCACTTGAAATGCTAAGTATATTTATGTAGCCATTACCAGTCCTTCTGATATACTTACTCTGCTAGTCAACAACTTCACATTACTCTGCAAGTCCAATCATCATAACAAAACGAAAAAAAAAGTCACAGAGTGCATCACTAGATGGCAGCAATTCATTAGAACAGGAAACACAAAAGCCCTCCAAGATAGCAGGCTCTCAAAACATTTATTTCTGTGGAAGACAAATCTATGTAGTGCTAATAATGTGCTCTTGAGGAGTTCCAAGGAAGCGGAATTATTTGTTAATGTAAGCTTTTTAGAGTGGGTTTGCAGAAGAAGTGATAGACTTCTGATTTCTGACAAGTATGCTGTCGAACTCAAGGCACACAGTAAAACAAATCTGTGAGATATCAAGAAATCCAAGTATTTTCAAGGAGAACAGCCCAAAAGGAAAGTCATCTTTGAAGGTCATATAACCAACAGTGTATAACCATTTTGTATTGGTAATTTAGAATTTTGCTCAGTAAAATACTGTATGAGTGTAACATCATGATGTGTTTCAAACTAGCAGGCTTTAAAAAAAATCTGCCTACAGAATGATATGCTGGATCAAATGCATAAGCAGGGTCCCCAACCCTTGTGTATCCCTTGGTATGTTTGGAATTCAGAGGGAGTACCATGGAGATTCTCATAAAGGGCTGATTGCAGTTCCAGGGGCCTCTTCATTCATAAAATGACAGCTTCAATGGGCATGACTGTTCACAGGACCCTCATTTTCCCAGAAGGTAAACTAGTGAGACTAAAAGTGACTTGCCCAAGAATCCAAGAACAAGACAAGTAGGTGTCTCAGTAATAAAACAAAGGACCACTTATATGAACCCAAATAAAAATGGCACTATGCAACAGCATTTCACTAAACAGTTTACCAACATCTCAGTTAAAAACCCTTTTTATAATTTAAAAAAGCTTAAGAAATAAGAAGGGTATCACACCAAAGGCTTCAAGCATAGGATGATAGGTTTCTGCACAAAGAATTTTGGGAATTGCTCTAACTGCCTGAATCTGATGGAGTGCCTCTCCTGATCTCAGTTTACTCAGACCTTATGATCTGTGTTGGAGCTTTCCTCCAACTGCACCAAGAGAGGCCAAGAAAGAGGAAATGAGAGAAGGCCTTTTCAGTAGTGGCTAGTAGTGGCTCCCCAGTTGTGGAATGGTCTCCCTGCTGAAGCCCACCTGCCACCAACATTGTCATCTTTTGGGGCTCAGGTTAAAACTTGGGGTTTACTGTGTTGTATCTTTTATATTTAATTAATTGTTGTGAACTGTCCAGAGCACTTTGGCTACTGGGCAGTACAAAAATTAAATAACTAACTAATCTATGCAGAATTAAATTCCTAAACCTAGTTAAATCAATGGAGATTGTACAAATCTAAATCTGCATTAAAAACAGCATTTAGGCTGTACTTCCAAACTTTTGAAATATACAACTGAATATAGTGGGATTTACTTCCAAGCAAACAGACATAGGATAGTGTTGAACAAGCCTAGTTAACCTAAATCTGTTTCCTAAGTATGTCAATGCTCAAAAGTGAAAATAAAAACAAGTTATTTTGTTCTATAGTGATTAATTTTTAGTTCTCCTATACAAGCTTGCCTTTGTAGTATAAAGTGCTGGGGAGGGAGGGCTGGGAGCTGGGAGGCTGGGGGCTGGGAGGAAGAGAGGTATGTTTTAAGCAGGTATATCCAGGGCTTTCCCCAGCTGAATGATTAATTCCATCTGTTCAATATAGTATCAGGTAAAAGCTTTCCAGTATTCCATTTTCATGGAGAATGTTAAGTATTTTTCATGTTCATGCTGCCATTTTGCACATGCTAAACAGCATGTAGTACTTGGAAAAGGAAAGGGCAGCTATGTCCATTTGAGCACCTACATCTAGAACTCTTTGTTTAAAACTGTTTCTGATTGCATTTCAAAGTGGATTCAGTGCCTGTTGGATCAGTCTAGCAGAACATCTTGTTTCCAATAGCTGCTAGCCTCCATAAGCAAGATCTGCCATTAATTTCCCAATCTGGTATTTCAAGGCATCTTGTCTTTGATCAGAGATGTTCCATCACTCACACAGACTTCCTTCTTTCAGAGTAATATAAATTATTACTATGGCTGTGACCTAATCAAATAATCCCCAAGCAACAAAGAATTGGTTGGCATCTTTTGGCCCTATCTTTTAGGAGCTACTTCCAAGCCTAACTCCAGTTCTTAAGCTTCTAGAAAACAGAAGCATCCAATGTTTTCTATCCTGGGTCTATCCTGAGTCTCACAAGGTTTCTGTTTTGTAATATTCCAGGATTAGCTACACATTTGGTACACATGAGTAACCACCACATTTATTACTGATGGCATCAGTCATCAGATTATAATATATATTACATTAAGCCAAAAGACTGAGAAGCAGTCACTCATCAGGTGATGAATAATGAGAAATCACTGAATCCCTCCTCTTCCCAAACAAGAAATGACAAAGAGTGACCCACAATGACTCAGTGCAGAATGACTTGTACCTCTTCCTTACCTTTATGTTATCAGAAACAGTCTTGGAGCATCCCTACCACCTGTGGACTGAGAGCAATGTGGAGTAGCAGTTAGATTTTTGGACTGGGACTTGGAAGTGTGGATTCTAGCACACACACCCCACAGCCATGAGGTTCACTGAGTGGATTTGGACCAGTCACAGACTCTCAACCTAACCTACTTCACAGGGTTGTTGAGAAGATAAAGTGTCAAGGAGAAGAAAGATGTTATTAGCCACCTTGATTCCTCAAGAAGAGGAGATAAGCCGGGTTATAAAGATGCCACATTTCTCCATGGCTACTACTTTTCTCTGCAGACCTCCAAAATTTTGTGTGGCAGGCAGCAATTTGACCAGTGCTTCTTCACCTAGCATGGAGATGCTAAACGGAGGGAAGTCTCACCTGTTGCTCTTCTACCTGTCCATAGCTCTTAAATGGAACACTGAGAGGATTTTAATATATATATATATAAAGCAGACACCCTACTTTTGCCCCTATGGAATAGCAGTTGCTATCCTCTGCTATCGTCTGAAGAGAGCGTTCAATAACATTCAGAAGCTGCCAGTTCTGCAATCCTTACGTCACTCCCCGTTCTCGACTCCTGTCACCAGCTTGCCTCCGATGCCCTAAGCAGGTCAATGTTGATAGCTCCTCCTTAGAGCAGAGCCATTGAAACTTGTCACGAGTCACTTAAGCTCCATTCATTTCAACAGGTCTAACGCTACCCGGCGCTAAATCGCACTCAGTGCGCCTGCGCAAGCGTAAATCTCGCCCTAGTAGGGCGCACGCGCACTAGCCGCCCGGGCTTGTTTACCTACCCGTGTGCGTGCGCGTGTGGATTTTCCCCGTCTTTTCCCATCTCATTTTTCCCTCAGATGGCTCCGTCTACATCCGGGGTCATACCTCTTTTGCTTCCTGTTTTGGGTGTGTAGGTTTGCGGGCGGAGGGAGGGGGGTTTTGTGTGTGTGTGTTTGTTTGTTTGTTTGTGTAGGGAGGGCAGAAGGAAGCCAACTGGGAGAGGGGGGAGGGAGAAAGGGAGCGCGGGCGGGCGAGCGAACAGGAGGGGGGGAACGACCCGAATGGGAGACCCGGCGGCCTCTGTGCGCGCCCGCGCGCGCGCCTGCCGACGGACTCGACGGGGCTCTGTCCGCTGAAGGAGAGCGCGCGAGAGCGCGCGCGGCCGCTCGCCCGCCCCCTTCTCTGTCAAACGCTGAGGGGGTGCGGAGCGGGCACGCGAGCGAGGGGCGGGCACACGCCGCTGGAATCCTCGGGGGGCGACCCAGCGCGCCCGCGCCAGAGTCCGCGGCGGCGGCGGCCGGACGGGAGTCCCGGGCGGACGCCGGAGGGAGCGGGCGAGCAGGTGGCCAGGCCGGGAGGATCCCGATCGCCTTCCCCCTCCGATCTCGGCGGTCTCCGGCTGCGGTCCACGCTGGGATAGGCGGAGGTGAGAGTCCCGGAGCGACGAGGGGGGGGGGGGGGGGCGAGCGGGTTTTCTCTGAGGAGCGGCTGCTTCTGCGGGAGGCGGACGAAGCAGGCAAGCGTCCGTCAGGGAAGGGGATCGCTTCCTCCGAGGGCTGCTTCTCCTCCTCCTCTGGGAGCGTGGGGCTTACTCGCGAGTAAATACGGAGCCGCCTAGGCTGGCCGCCTTGATTTACAGTCCCCCCTCCCCGCGCGAACACAAACGCGCACGCCTCTCGGCGCGAATGCAGTCCGATTTATTCCCTCGGAAATGGGCTTGGGCAGAATGATTTATTTTTCTCTTAGGTTCATGTCCCGCGCTCGCTCGCGCTCTCTCTCTCGCGAAGAGCGCTAGGCGGCTTGCGTAATCTTCTCGGTGTTTTTCTTCACTACACAACAGCCCTGGGAAGTAGGTTAGTGACTGGTCCAAAGTCACCCAAGGAGCTTCATGGCCAAGTAGGGACTAGAGCCCGGATCTCCCACGTCCCAGCGCAACACATGCTACACTGGCGACCACCTTAAACTGCAATCCTGCATGCACTTACATATATTATGTCTGTATAGGCTTGCATTGCTCAGCACTTTTTGATTCCCCACCACTACCTCTGTTTACACATCCTAAAATGTGCACCGCCCCACCCCCACACACACACCAATCTTCAACTTAAAAATGTACTTTTTGGGCTTTGCCCAAATTGTTGCCTGAATCTTGTTTCAATTCATCTTTGCCCTGTTTGATTTCTGCACTCTAAGACAGCTTCTACTAATGCCTGCCACTACCCATAGTGACCTTATTTATATTTTTATTCCTCCTTTTTCTCCCAAGCTGCTTAGGGACACACAAATGGGCCCTCTCTTTTACTTCACAACAATCTTGTGGGGTAGGTACTATCTTTCTTTTTAAAGCATAATCTGCATAACTGGAAACCTTCAGTGTTTTGTGCAGGTATCTTAACCTCTCCCACTCTCTCTTTCTCCTTTTTTCTCTCCCTTAGGAAATCCCCTCGCTTTTTCACTGTTACCTTCCTTGGTGTAGTATCCTAGAAGAGTTATGTTGTGGGGTGGGGGCAGGGAGAGAAGGAACAGTCTTACCACACCTTTAAAAGCTTACACTTTCATTATGGCATGAGCCTACTTGTATCAGAACATAACTGCTAAACAGCAATTAATATGTTGACTCAGGAGAAAAACACACTGTCCTATAGTATTGTCGATATTGCAAACTAGAATCGGGATGGGCAACAGGGATTCCTTAGAGTGTCTCATGCCTGCTTTTGAGGTCCCTGCTGTCACTGGCAAAAGTTGCAACAGTTTTGCAGGGAAACTACATGCAGGACCATGCATTGCTTCCCAGAAGCAAGGCACACACTCTCCACAGACCTTATTTTCCAGTAAAATTGCCACAATTTAGGCTGCTACTACAGCACATGCAGAGGCAGTGACTGGGGTGTGGCCCCAGTGGGTTCAGGTAGGCAGTGCAGCCCCGATCCTTGGAGTTTGCCTTCTCCTGCAGCATGGACATCAAATCCACCTCCTGTCCCCAACTATTTTTCTCCTAATTGCTATCATTCTTCATTCTGTTTGATTCCTCTATGCCCTCACATCTAGCTTCCATTTTATTTTTATTCTGCTACGTTTCTGTATCACCCAGTAGCCAAAGCTCTGTTTTACAGAAATTAAAACCTTTAAAATGTATTGTAACAATCAGTTATTTACAAACAAACATACAACACAGAAAGACACTATACATAAAAGCAGTTATGAACACCAGCAAATAGAATTTCTAATATTCTTTGTGAAGAACCTCTTTTTTTCCTAAGCGCACTGGGATTTGTCCTGTGTTGCTATTCCTCCTCTCTACCATGAAAGGGCCTTGTTTTTCTGTTTCCTGGATCCTCTCTACCTGTGGACTCATTCTTCCTCCCCCACCATCCTGTTTTTGAGCCTCCTCCCTTTTTCTCCTGACTCTCCCGCTTGTGCCCCTTCTACATTCCCACCCTGTGCTGCCTTTTTGCAAAAGCTGCTCAGGATGATGAAAGAGATTGGGGGCCCTGCCACTTCCTCCATTCCCTTGGTGATATGGGATGTTTACCTGACCGCTTGGGCAATGAGGTTTGAAGAAACATTAGGCTTTGGGGTTTGGCGGTTTACAAACAATGTTGGGCTACCATCCTTTCCTTCCCATTTGGAATTTGTTTCTGTCAATCAAGCCAGCAGGACAAAGTGTGATTCATGATACCTTATTGCCTTTGATAGGGTAATGTGGTGCTCACTGTTGTGATTAACATAAAATCAAAGAGGGAGGCTGTTTTTGTAAAAATGTTTTTACAGTCATGATGTTGTCTATTTTCTTTATACATGCTGAAGTACAGAAAAAGCTGTAGGCCAGTGAGTTTAGCTTCAAAATACACTTATCACAGGCAGTTCTCATCAATGAATGTATTTGTGCATAGCTCCAAGCCATTCAGCTTCCTGGTTTAAATATCTTTTGAGTACCCACAAGTTCTGAAAAATAACTCATTTCAGTGAAGCTATTATTTGTGGATATAGTTGCAAAATTCAAGAGCCAATAGCATGAATGTAGAAAAGAGGGAAAATCCCTTTAATGCTGTTTCATAAGCATGATTTATCTTTCACAGAGCATGCTTTGTAAATATATTTGCTCAAAATAAACTGATTATACCTCTCAAGTTGAATAGTTGCATCCAAATTCTGCCTAGTTAATACTGCTGCTTTCTGGATAGAAGAGGGGGACTAATAATATATAGACTTGAACTGTTTAACTTGCATTTTCTTGGTGCCTTAATGTATGTTGATTTGTAGCTGATAGAAATGTTGTTCTTTTCAACTAACAAATGCTATTGTAGTATATGATGTAAGAGTAATTCATGTGTGTGGTGAATAATTCAAGAAAAACTAAAATGAGAATATCTTAAAAGGATGGCGATTAGTTTGGTAAACTTCACAGGTAACCCTTTAAATATTGCTGAATACCTGTATATTTGCAAAGTGAGAAATACACATTTGGGTGTTTACATGTAACGTGTTATTTTTCTTTAGTCTTTAAGCCTCTGCCACCATGTCACCTTGGCAATTGAGTTGTCCATGTCTACGTGTTTCTCCATGAGTAACTCATGTGCACCTTCTTAAGTTAGGGGAGGATTCGGTCCATTTTCAGTTCAGAAATATAAGTGCATAGTTCTGTATGTGCAGGAGGGAGATCAGTAGGGAAGGATGCAACGTGAGACTGGATCATCCATGTGCAACACAACCCTATGCGTGTTTAGTCGAAAATAAGTCCTGTGATTTTCAGTGGCATTTATTCTCATGTAAGTAAGGGCAACAGTCCTATGGGTTGTGCCCTCAAGGGCCATAAGCCTCCAAACATGAAGACGTACAGTCCTCCAACGCAGAGCAGGAAGAGTGCTGAAAATCTTTGACATCCTTGCCCTCTGCGTTTTCATTAGACAGGCTTTTTTGCATGTCTAGCTGCAGTGTTACAGAGGGTGAAAGAGTACAGGAGTCTGGAGAAGCATGTGGGTTGTTTCATATCCTGGCCTCTTCAGTCTTCTCCTCCTCACACCAAAACACCCCCCTCTCCCTCTCTGAGATCAATTTCTGACATTGGAGGGCAGTGCACATGGTGTTTCAGCACCAGATGCAAGGAAGAGTAGGGCCACTTCTCCAGGGAATCTGATATGTCATGACCTCTCAGGCCCTGTCTAATGACCATAAGATTGCCCCCTCAGCCAAGAAAATATGATTTCAAAAGTAGTCTGTCAAGCTAATATATGCATGTTTAGCTACAAGTTATTTTGTCTTGTAGGTAAATTCTATGCATATCAAGAATAGTAGATCTTAAATATGCATACTGAACATAATAGAGCTTAAATATGCATAATAAATTGGTGCAAGATAGTGTTATGTTGCTGCTGTCCCACAGATAAATAACATCAGTTTGTCTTCAGAAATGACTTGCTTTAGAAATGTTGTATAGTGTTTCTGGGCAGAGCTTGATGATATACTGCTAAGTGTATGGTCTAACAAGATAATGAGGAAGCAAGGGACACTTGCAGAATAAAGATCAGGAGATGGGAAGGGTGTATTATCTCTCCTGATTCTGCTCATTACCCCCGCAAATGCTTCTGCAAAGCTTTTAACTTCCACGTTATTTCTAGTTTTAGAGTATCACTGAGGTCAGGGAATTTCCAGGAATGAAGGATTTCAATAGAAGGCTCTATGATCAGGGGAACAGTTAAGTGCCTGTACTTTAATTTTACAAAGGAAACATGTGATTGAGACCATGTTGTTCCTCTTTATTTTCTAGCTTCACCATTTCTAGTGTAGCTTGACTCTTTTGGATTTATTTGCAAGTGAATATACAGAGCTGATTAGACTGGATCAGAAAATTGATCCATCAGACCCATTGTTGTCTTTTCTGGCAGACAGCAGATCTCCAAGAACTTAGGTAGAATTCTTTCCCAACCCTTCCATTTGGAATCTTTTTAACCAGGATGCCAGGGACTGAATACAAAACCTTCTGCTTGCAAAGCATATGCTCTATATTTGGTATGTTTGGTAAAAATGAAGTTCAAGAACAGAACTGAATTTGGGAGATACTGTTAATAAGAGCTACGCTTAATCAGACCAATGCTTACAGAGTAGAGCATTTTGTCCATGCAGCAGCCAGCGAGATGCCCCAGGAAGTGCACGAACAACTGTTATATGGGCATACTGTCTCTGATACTCGTGAAAATATCCAGTCTTAATGACTAGTATCTATTGATAGCTTTATCCTCCATTAGTTGCCTTTTAACACCTTCCAAATTGGTGGCCTTCAGTACATTTTGTGGTAACCAGTCCATAGGCAAATTTTACACTCTGTGTAGAAGTACTGTTCTGAAGCTCCCATCAATCAACTTCATGGGATGACCCATGTCTTCGTATCTGCTTTCTCCACACTATGCATAATTGCATATACCTCTG